GGTTTGTGTCAAAAAAACACTTTTTATGATGGACAGGTCCAGATGATTTCTTGAAAGATTTTTTTTATTTTTTATTTTTTTATGACACCTTTAAAGGAAAATTCCGGTCAGCAAAGAATAATCAATGGATCACTATCTATACCTACAACTAATACTTTCGTGGTGATTTAATTACGTTAGCGTTTTTCGTCTGGATCACTGAGTCTGGGAGAGGCCATTTTTGCCCAAATATAGTAGCCCCTCCCTCCTGCCATCTTCCAGCAGTGACGTCACGGTGCGGTAAGCCTAGCGCCATTCTCCCCGCTTTACAAGCTAAATCAATGGGAACTACTAGACACATCTGCAATCAACAACAATTATTGAAGATTTCCAGAGGACTTCACCATTGAAATTCACCAGAGCTATAGTGAAACTGACAATGCCCACGTGCATGGCAGCTGGAGGCTGGAATACATCGGGGAAAAGTGAAAAAAAGAGTTATTCCACCTTTCTGATTCCTGATCCTCCACGGACGGGTTGGTCGTTGGATCGCCAACTTGAAGAGGGAGGATTTGCCATCGAACTTCTGGCCAGAGAAAAAACCCGTAATATGTAGCCAACATTTGGAAGAAGAATGTTTTCAAGATGACTTGGATAATAGCGCGTTGTGACAAACACCAGATACAGCACTGGGACTTGATCAACAGCCGATACCGCACCATGACGTCACAAACCAGTAGGTGGCAGTAGAGTTCTTTGACAAACATGGATGCCTCCAGTAAAGCACATTCACACTTATTTCATCATTTATTTAAGTATGTAATAAATTCATACTTAAAGTACTTTCAGAAGTTTGTATTCTATGTGACCAGACTTTTCCTTTAAATCTGCATTTCTTCTGTTCAGCTTTCAGCTCCAAATACATTTTTTGGTGTTATTGACATGCCAGAAAGTTTTCCTCAGTTGAGGAAACAAATAATCGACAAATATAAATATTAACTTTATTGATATTATAATAGGACGACCCCAATTTCTAATCTAAAACACAATCAACTTTTAAAGTGTATATCTGAAACAAAACTTGTTTTCCAACTGGATATTTTCAGTAAGGTAAAGGCCTATGCTATAAAAAAGAAAAAAACAGGTTGATAGAAGAAGTAAAACATGAGAAGAAAATTTGAGTGATTGAAAGGGGTTGAACTGTAAAGTGCCTTGAGATGACATGTGTTGTGAATTTGGCGCTATATAAATAAACTGAATTGAAATTGAATTGAATTGAAATCAGAGTCAATAGTGGATAAAACTATATGGACTGAGAATATCAACGCAAAAGGGTTAAAGAGAGGAATGTTGGGGGAAAAACAGGTTAGAAAATGATGAAGGCTGAATGAATAAATGACAGCTTCTGATCGCATGATTGCACCTGACCTTATTTGAGGGTTTCATATTAAAGGGGGGTACATGCATTCCAGGTACATGCATAGAAATTTGTGATTGAAAACTGACCAAATGTATGGAAGACAATTAGGGCCATTGAAAAAAAAAAAAAAAAAGTTACTAATTTTTAAATTTTGTATCAGTATATTCAGGGAGAAAAGTCAGAATTCTGACTTTAATCTCAGAATTATACTAAAATAAAATTTAAAAACCAGTTAACTTTTTTTATTCAGTTGCCCTCATCTTCTTCCGTATCACAATCCCTTCCTTCAGGGTCAGAATTCTGACTTTTTTCACATATTTTACTGAAATAAAATTTTAAATTCAGTTATCTTTTTTCATTTTTTCGGTGGCCCTAATCCTCTTCCGTAAAAATTTGAAAATGTTCATAGTAGAAAAATACTTTTTCAAGGAAGGAACAGATCAACCTCAACCTTAGATGGACAAAGATAAAGAGACAAAAAGTCCTTAGAGAACATGTTCTCAGACAGGTTGTTTTTGAAAAGTATTCCCTCTGCAGCCCTTCAGGCTCTTTCACCTTCTCTGTGGGTACCTGCCCGCTGCCCTATTATGTTCATTGTATGATTGACCTTTACATCTTCATCTCTACGGGTGTCATATTGATTTGCTCTCAAAGGTAATGGTAAACTTTTATGTTCGCTCCATTATTCCGTGTTCCTCTCTGCTTTCCCGGGTCTTTATAAGGCAGGTTTTCCTGCTTCCTGACAAATCAGATCCATAATGCCTGCTGTAAGTGTAACAAACATACTAAACAGCGTACATATTGTACTTAGTCTGCAAACAACAATATAAGATGCCATATTCTAAATATATTTGATATGGGTAATTTATTTCATATCATAAATATAGCATACACTTATACGTAAAACACATGATGCACACAATATGCACATTGAATCCCATACTGACAAAACAATAAAAAAAACGCCAAAAAAATCTCTATATACACAGATCTAGACTGCAGCATGCATACAGTCAGGTAAAATTGTTCCAAGACATATAACTCATCTTTTTTTATTTACTCCCACTCCCTATTCCACATTAAGGTAAATGGTTGTTACTATACATAGGATTCAATAATCCTCATCTTATATTTTTATTATATGCCACTAAGACCAGTTCATTGCTGCATAATAATATACAGTAAATTCATATATAGGTAGATGTGCATTCATGTAATGTTACATAAGTGATAAGATACACATGGGAACCCTGACAAAAATATGTGTGTGTAGCTCTGTACAGTGTATTCTACGGAAGAGGATTAGGGCCACTGGGAAAAAGTAAACTGATTTTTAAATTTTATTTCAGTTTAACATGGGAAAAAAGTCAGAATTCTGAGATTAAAGTCAGAATTCTGACTTTTTTCTCAGAATTCTGACTTTAATCTCAGAATTCTGACTTTTTTCTCAGAATTCTGACTTTAATCTCAGAGTTCTGAGAAAAAAGTCAGAATTCTGAGAAAAAAGTCAGAATTCTGACTTTTTTCCCATACTATACTGAAATAAAATAAAAAAAAATAAGTTAACTTTTTTTTTTTTTTCCAGTGGCCCTAATCCTCTTCCGTAGTATTTCCATTATGAGTTCGTATGAAATCGTACGAAAAGTTATGCATCGTAATTTCGTAAGTTTTTGACGTTTTTTTCGTCGTATTTCGGTGTATTTTTACGTCTTGCCTCGAGACAAGATATCCTTGCGTATGCGCACCATTCAATAACATAGAATTTAACATACAATTAACCCTAACCCGAAGATACAGAACAGCAAGCAACGTACAGTAGTTAGAGACATGAAGAAGTAATTATTGCACTGTTTTTCCCATTTTTACATCCGTCCGCGGATCTGCTTTTTTTGTCTGTCTGCACTGCAAAAAAAGGAAATCTAAATAAGTCATTTCTTCTTAAATTAAATGCATTTTTTCTTGAATTAAGGATTTAAGTGAGACACTTTGCCGATGGAACAAGACAATTTACACTTAAAATCAGAAAAAACAATTGCATTGTCTTATTTCAAGTGCATTTTTTTCTAGATACCTTATTTTAAGAGTAAAAATACTACCTCCATTGGCAAATCATCTTATTTACCTGCTCAAATTAAGGGTAAATACCCTTAATTTAAGACATTTTTTACTCATTTTAAGATCATTTTTGCAGTGTGCCTGCGCATGCGCACTGATCTGTTTTTTCGAGGAAAAACGTCAAAAACGTACGAAATACTGTGCATAACTTTTCGTAAGATTTCATACGAACTGATAATGAGAATACGTTGCTCTGTAGAGTGTGTAGCCCTCAGAGTGAGGACCGTTTTTCAATTTCACCATCAAATTGAGGACCAGTTGTTGCAAAGTCAGGATATTTTGCTAATTATAAGGTTTAAGGTGCCAATTGGGTTAAGGTTAGGGTGAGGTATGTTTTGGTAATGGTTAGATTTAGCATTTTCTGGATTTTTGCCTCAGCTACCTGTTCGTCCATAATTAAATTGGCAAAACTCATCTCTGCCGACTCTTTTTTGCATTTGGGTCCTCATAGCCTCCACCCAACCTGACCATTTTTTTCATATTCCTCCTCAGGCTGGTCGATTGGTCAATAAAATCTATAATCACCATTTTTATTTGTGACATTTTCCTGTTTTTAAAACCTTTTTTTTTAAACCAATGCTCTCCTTGTCCGTCCATGCTTAAAAAGACATTAGTTCATCATTTTTTTTGTTTTTAAGTGTCTGCTTGTAACTGATCAATTAAAGCAACTCAATTTTTTAATTGTTTCCTTTGAAACCAGATTATTTTACAAGCATGTTTCACAGCTTGAATTTTGTTGCCCTTTAAATAAGGTCACCTCCCAGAGGGGATGATTAATCTCAAAGGTAGTTTTTGAAAGCAATATATGTCATTTATTGTTTTTATTATAAAAATCAAGTGATTAAAATAATTAATTAACCGTATGATGTAGGAAAGCATAGATACACTTTGAAATCTTTGTTTTGCAATTGCTTGTTGATCCACATCATTAACATGAATATTGTTGTTTGAGAGCAAGTTAATCAAGTCACTCTCTTCATTTTAACTACAGTATTTATTGGTGTAGAAAACTGGTTCATAACCCCCTAGTAGTCTTAGCCTCCATGCTTAACTCCACGATGTTCATGTGATTCCTCACAGCAATACATTATTCAGAGATACCAAACACTAAATACATTTTAGAAGAAGAAAAAAAAAAGTTAAAAAGCAATCCACCTGACTTTGTTTCTAAGTTTGAAGATGTTTTGCATCCCATCCAGTAGGCTTTTTCACAATGGTTTTTTTGTTTGGCTTCATTTGTTATTCCCCATTCCAAAGGGGTGAACCCGTTCGTCCGTTTTAATTTGCATGTTTTCTAAAGGCTTTGTTGGGTTGCTGTATAAGAGCCTCAAACTCAACATTATTTCTGACATTTTGAAGTGAAAAAGCTTCTTGGAACGTACGAGTCCACAGGATTTTTGTTTTTACTTTTTTGAAATCATATTTCTTTTATTTGTGAAATGCTTGTGCATACATTCCATACTAACTGTCTGTTTTACCTCCATAGGGGCTCAAACCAATGGACCACAATGGGCTCTCAGATCCTTATGTCAAACTGCACCTACTGCCTGGAGCCAGCAAGGTCAGTACCATGAAATAGATTCAAGAAAATCAACATAATGTGCAAGGTAGCACAGCATAACAAGAAAACCAAGGAAGCCAGTTGTAGGTCATTGTTGTGGAATGGTGAGACGATGCTTGGTGCTTCATTAGATAAGAGTTGCTTCTAGCTGACATGGACAAAACCTTGGTCCTGGACATTAGGACCAAATCGCCAAAATAGTGTCTATTCTTCCCGTTTAGAAACAATGTTATCGCCTTCGGTCTCTCATATCGGTCTCAGTCTATGAGTGCAAAATTACAGCTCCTCATCAATCAGTATCATGTCATAATAATAATAATACATTTTATTTGAAAGTGCCTTATCAAAACACCCAAGGACACTGTACAGGGAGATAAAACATTAAAACAGGAAGCTAAAAAGTACAAGCATAAAGATGCCACAGAAAACAAAACAGCAGGAAGAAAAATAAAGCCAAAGGAAGAAAACAACATTGGAGTGATGCATATGAACTAGATGGAATAAGACTGTCTGAACAGGAAAGTTTTGAGTCTGGATTTGAAAAGAGGGAAGGAGTCCAGAGTACGGAGATCCGGAGGGAGGGAGTTCCAGAGGTGGGGAGCAGAGCGACTAAATGCCCGGTTCCCCATTGTGACAAGAGGGGCCGAGGGAACGGAGAGCTGGAAGGTGTGGAAGGATCGTAGGGAGCAGGTGTACACCGCTGTCTCAGCTCCCCTGCTCTGTCCCTGCAACAAAAACCAGTTACCTCCCACAATGGAGAAAACTCACATCTTATGAAATCTATTCAATTCAGTTTATTTCCATAGCACCAATTCCCAGCACACAACATCTCAAGGCACAGTTCAACCAGATCACCCAGTCTGATTGATTCAAATTTTACTATCTAAGGAAAACCAGCTGATAGCATCGACTCATTGACTCTTCAGCAATCCCTCACACTAAGCATGCTTGTAGCGACAGTGGAGAGGAAAGAACAGCGCAATCACCAGTCCCTTGCAGGGCAACACAGGGACATACAATCGTGCAAAAGTACACACACACACACTCAAGGACAATTTAAAGATACCAATTAACCTGACAGTCATGACTGAGGAAGTCAGCTTACACATGGAAATTATGCAAACTCCATGTAGAAAGACCCTGAACCGGAAACTGTACCCGGGACCTTATCGTTGCAAGGCAATAGTGCTACAGAATGCTCCATCATGCAACACCTAACAGAAATAAAAAAAATAAATAAAAAATAAAAAGCCAAAACCTGAACAGATTTTCCATTTGCTTATAAATACATAAAAAGCCGAGATGACTCAGGGGTTGCTTTATTAAGGAGGGTGAATTTTCTAACTTGAATTGCTTCTGAAAGCTGTTTCTGACGATTCTGTTAATCCTGAGACAAAAGATCCTGAAAATGATTAAAATCCACAAAGCAGCTTATTGAAAGCCAAAGATGCCTTATTATCCGTCTACCTGACTCATATCTCCCTCTCCTCTGAAGCCTTTCAAAGTCTACTCCATTGATTTTAGCTTTGTAGTTATTTGTATCTGCTACAAAGCTTCATGTTAACTCCTTTGTTACAGATATAGAAAGTCAAATAACTGCATGAACTGATGTGCAATGTTTTCAAAATCTTTTCCTTATCGGTGGGTTTTCACCTTACAAACATCATTGAAACTTCTAATCACGGGGTGTAGAAATGTATTTATTTTATTTTGTTGCTGTGGGGTTCAGGTCAGGATAGTTTGCTGTCTTATCAAGCATACTACCCCTCTGGAATGGAATGGGGGTCGTTTGGCTTCTTTTGCTAGCCTGCAGTGCCCCATACCTGTCTATTGCTCTGTTTGAAAACCTGGGCTGCATCCTCCAAGGACGCGGTCTACCTAGACTGGATCCTTCCAAGTCCTTGAAAATAAGGAGACCGGAAGAGTTTTGGCTGTGAATTCGACCAGGTCCACCCTTCGGCGGGTTTTACCGCCGTAAGGTCTGTTGCTTAGCAACCGTGAAAGTTAACACACAAAGCAGGAAAAGAATGAAAACCGAAGTTTTCAAAACTGTTTGTTTATTTATTTCTTTTTTATTATAAATTGAACAAGGACTACATTAACAAGAATCCAGAGTGGAATAAAGGTTCCAACCACCGGGAGCAGGAACAAATAAAATCAAATGTAACGATAGAAACCTTAGTCTGTTAAATAACCTGCTGCTGTCATTCTGCACATCTCTGATGTTGCTGCTATTTTCAAATATCCATTACTGTAAAAATGTCCATAGCTGCATATTGGTTATTAATTCTCCAGTTTTATATTGTTAAAGAACTTTACAGAATTGTATTGTTTTTTTTTTTGTTTTTAACTCTTCCCTATTATGTTATTCTTATACATTTTTCTAAGGTCCACATTTGTGTGACCATTTTCAATCATCTTTCTGCTGCTGTAAATTTGCCCATTGTGGGACAATAAAGGGATTTTCTATTGTATTCCATAAAAGGGGTAGAAAGATATAAGTAAATCTAAACAATGTATGTATAAAAAATATCTGCAAAATCTCTAATATTCAACAACAAAAAAATCTTCGTTAAGCATATTGTGCAAAACAGCAATAAAAAAATTAAACTCCTATCAGATTTATAGTCCCCATTCTGCAGATATATATTCCAGCCAAAACCATTTAAACAGTAACAGATAAAAACCTTTAGATAAACCAAACATTACCGCCACATATCTGACTCAATAACCATTAAAACAAAAATTTTTAATTAATCTCAGACGGAACTATTCACAGACTTGTATTATATTAAACTGAACTTCCAATTTTCACCACTGTTCGGCGCCAAGTAACCTTTACTCTGATCACGGCTTGCTTGGTCTCGCAATGAATCCTGGTTAAACCAAGGATACCGAGGATACATCGGACCCGTCCTTTAAATCGGGCAAAAAGAAGGACGCATTTTAAGGCCGCATAACGAGGACTCTTGGAATCCGACCAGACCCGGCGCCGCACTATGACGTAATCGGCCTTCGAATCCGGTCTTCTAAGGACGCGTCCTAGGTTTTCGAACAGAGCATATGTCTCTGAAAGGGGAAACTAGTTTCAGAGAGCTTGAGAGGGGGCCAGAAGACCTCACCTATTCAGCCAGGCTTAAACGGCACCCCTTTCAGAGACATTCACAGGCCAACTAAGCCTTGTTTTTGTTTCGAAACCATGGAAACTGAAACTGATGAACAAGTCTACCCAGTGGCGGTTCTAGACCAAATGTACCAGGGGGCCAGGAGGAGGCCAGCGTGTTTTCATGGGGGCCCAGAGAAGCATGAATTAAAAAACAGGACAACGGATTCAAATATATTACGATAGCTGCATGAAGCGAAATTTCTATTCAATTAGGTTTAATTAAAATTCTATTTCTTATGAGGTCAATATACATTTATAATTTAGGAATTTTACATATTATTCACCTAATTTAAGTTAAAATCACATTTTCTATAAAATCAGAAATAGAACTCAAGAGAAACAGATAAATACAGCTGTAAAAATTATAAAAATTATTTTTTTTTAATTTGTGTAAAAAAAAACATTTAGCAGATGAAAACTGGGATCCTACCTCAATACCACTGAAGCTATCATCTTATTGTTTTTAAATAATTAGTAAAACATAATTTATAACGAAAAAAAACGAAATACATCCAAAGGACCTATCAGTAACCATGTCTGTTCCAGCACATATCATCATTAGAATTAATTTTAATTATTATTTCTTCAGTACAGGGGCCATAACAGGGGCCAGGACATGATCTACAGGGGCACTGGCCCCCGTTGGCCCCTGTCTAGAACCGCACATGGGTCTACCCCTTTGGAGTAGGGGTCGTTTAACTTCTTGGTTAGCCTGCAAAGCTGCAAAGAAGCAAAACGACTTCCCATTCCAAAGGGGCGGATCCATTCGTCCGTTTAAATTAGCTTGTTTTCTAAGACACAACAAGGTTTTGTTTTTTGGTCCACTCTTTAAAACCTTGAACTCAATGCTAATTCTGACATTTTGACTTGTAAAAGCTTCCTGGATGGGAAGCTAAATGTCTTCAAACTTGGAAACAATGTCCAGAGGATTTCTATTTTATTTTCTTTTTTTACTTTGTTTGGAATGAATATGACCTGGATGAATAAGAATCTTCACCAGAACATATCAGTAACATATAAAACAATCCAAAGTCAATAGTTTTACCTCTTAGCACAGTGCAATAGTTCATTTTGCTTCATGATTGTAAGGATTTACCTTTGCAGAGACGTTAGTTGAGTTTTAGTAATTTGGACACCAGACTCTGGACGCCTTGTTTATCGTTTTTTCTACCTCAGTTTTTCCTTCCACTCAACTTTCAACTAATCTTCTTAAACAGAGCACTCTGGTAACATGTGACTTCATTTACAAAATAGTTTTGTGACTTACCCTTCTTGTTAAGCATCTCTATCACTGTCTGCTACACAAATACCAAGTCAACGGTCTTCCCTATTATCTCTCAGTCAAAGCATAGTAATAACCAGATATGATGTATCTGTATTCACTTTTCAACTTATGTAATATTCTATTATTTTTTTCTAGAAACACATCTTTGGCTGTTATTGGCTGTATACGAATTACTTAACCCTTTAAAGCCCGATCCAATAATAAAACAAAACAGAAAATTACCTTTTTTTGGTTTGAATTCCTTATTTGCCCTTTTAACAAAATATGTAAAAAGAAAAAACAGAAATACATTTTTGATATTAATAATTTATTACTATGCGATAAGTCAAGATTATTTTTTGTTTAGTCTTCTACTGGCTGTTATCAGGTATATCTGATTGTGTACAATAGGATTCTGAGCAAAGTTTTTACCATTAAATTATGCAAAAGGTGTCACATGCAAAACATTTCAGAAACCGTATGTATCAAATATGATACATTTGGCATTATAGGGTTAACTTTAACTACATTTACATGCAATGAATATCCCCTAGCTAATCAAAACCTTGG